ACACTTGGGGTGCTAGACTCTTAAAGGCTTAAGGAATCAAGCTACAAGAAAAGGTATGTCATTCTACTAGATTTTGTATTACATATACTTCATGGTATGCTAGTTAGGATGAAACCTTGGAAAAATGAAAGTTTGCATGTATAATAGAGAAAACATAGATCCACGATTTCTAGGGTTGCATGCACACCTTAGGAGTGTTATAATGCTCAAAATTCATCAGTAAGTACGATGAGCGTACGTTGTGTACACTAGGCGTACTGGGGTGAACCCTAGTACACTGGGCAGACCCTAGTACGATGGGCGTATACTGCGTACGCATGACGCACGTGGGAAAACTTCAAACCTTAATTTTTAGGGTTTTATCCATATATAAGCATCATTATCTCTCCTTCCTCATTCCATATCCATCCTCCAACCTTCATTTCGTCATTTGCAACCCTAAGCCCTTGTGTGCAGTCCTTTGAGCTCAAAAGTGTGTGTATTTGTGGTGCCTTTGAAGCTAGGTGAAGAAAGAAGCATAATTTTGGAAGATCAAGACCTTCTAGATCCAGGAACAGCTCACCTTCAAGATCCATTTTGAGGTATAAAGTTGTGAACTTGATGATTATATGCATAGATCTAAGTTAGCCATGGAATTTGTGTCCGTTTGGTCCCATCAATTGGGTATTTTGAGTATAACCTACCCTAATTCATTTAAGCTATTCTTTCATTCACTTTAAGGTGTCTAGAAGCATAAAAATGTAGTCTTTGTCATATCTTTCTTTCCATGCATGTGTTTTGAGGTCTTAATGGGTTAGGTGGTTGAGGTTTTCGATTTTAAGACTTTATTGGCCATGCAAGACTATAAAGTTGGAAAATTTATGGTCAAAAACATTATTTGAGACTTGGATATGATTTCGGAAGTGGAACTTTGAAGTATTAAGCTCTGAATGGGGAAAGGGCTGAACAGGCGTGTACGTTGGGTGTACCAAATGGTACATTGTGCGTACGCGGTCAGAACCCCGTAATATGGTCAACCATCGAGTACGCCCCGCATATAGAAGAGTATGCCTATCGTACTCATCTAGGTCGACTCGGCTGAGTTGGCTCGGCTGGGTGTTGACTTGACTTTTGACCGTTCACCAAGTTTGACCAAGGGTATTTTGGGAAAATGTTATTAATTTAGAAATGGGAAAGGTTTAGAAATTTAGGAAATTGGGTTGAGCCGGTTGTTGGAGCCGGGAGTTATTCAGACTACATTTAGACTGTGAGGTGACTTCTCCTCACTGTACTTACGGGTCGAAGGCACCAAGGCCGACCCATTGGATTGATATCCTGGTTTTACCGTATGTTGTTATACTGTAGTAATCTGTTAGATCTGTATACTGGTATATAAATGGGCTATGTTGTAGTGATCTGTTAGATCTGTATATTGGTATATAGGATGTGCTATGATGTAGTGATCAGTTAGATCTGTATGATTACCTGTACATGCTAGCTATTTATTGTTATGGTATATGTTGATATGTGATAGTATACCGGGTTGAGGCGGTCCTGCTTTGTGCAGAAGGCCAAGATACCCAGGGCAATCCGGATAGACTGAAGGCCTGCGAGGCAGACCAGTCAGGCAAAAGGCCCGGAAAGCGGTTTAGATAGGATGAAGGTCCATTCATGCTAAAGGCTTTGTATGCATGTTGTTGTTTGTTATGTTTATGTAATGGTACTTTGGGGGAACTCGCTAAACGTTGGCTTACAATTTTAGTTTTGTTTTAGGTACTTCGGAGGACCGTGGCAAGGCGAAGGCGTAATCGTACACATCCTTGGTTTTATGTTGTTGATCTTGGGAGACTCTGATTTTGGATAATGTTTTGGAAACAATGGTTTTGTAAATAGTTCTTTTTAGTAAATGGGTTGTTTTGAAAAGTTTAAATTGGTTGTGATTTTTGAGATGATACACACATAGACACACACACACACACACACACTCTCTCTCTCTCTC